ATAACTAATAGGATAGAACGAATACGAATACGAATACGAATATAACTAATAGGATAGAACGAATACAAATACGAATACGAATACGAATGCGAATACGAATACGAATACGAATAGGAGTAGGAATAGGATTAGGAATACGAATAAGAATACGAAATAACGCCTTTGGATGACGCCAAGACTTCGAATATACAACTAGTGTACCCCTTGGGTGTCACCAGAGTTTCGAAATTAATTTGACAGTACGCCTCTGGACATCGACTGTCAACAGAGCTTCGAAAATACGTCTAAGGTACTCTTTTTGGAAATCACCAAAACTTCGAAAACACTGTTAATGTACGCTTCTGAGTGAATCCAAATATTCGAAAATACCTCTAAGTATAGCAGATAATCAACAATCGAATGTAGGATAACTAAGATATCAGAATACTTAACTAATACTATAAGTAAGGTAGTTACTAGTACATCGAAATCTAAACTACTAACTAAGTATCAAAAGGACAGCTAAACACTTAGGAAAATATGGGATTTTCCTGGAATAACGTAACAACTCATAAACAAATTAAGTAACGAAATGATAACTAAACTGTTTTTACATAAGAAAATATGGGATTTTCTTGGATAACAACTTTTTTAGAAAACAAAAAGGGATCTCATTCTTTTCAAAACAAAACCGCTTATGAACTCACCAGCTTTATGCTGATTTTCAAACTGCTTGTATTCTCAGGTCAGCATTAGACAGGTACACCGCCAGCTTTTGGAGAAGACGGAGCGTTAGAAGACTCGTCTTTGTTTTTGTTCATATGATATATGTATATAACACTTGTGTAACTTTTCTTTGAAACAGATGTACACAATTCTATGTAATGTAATGTTTTGTGTTTACTGTGTTACTATGTACATTGGATTTGATACACAACGTGGAGTCCACCCCGAAAATGTTTCCACCTTCGGTTTTCGGGGTGTGACAGATATTGGAACATTATGACAACATCTATTATATAATGTTTTTAAATATTGGGATATGATCACAACATCAATACTTGTGTTCTATATTAACATGTTTAATCTATGAATAGTTTTATTATTCTAAAAGTACATAGTCGGTTATAATTATAGGAGCAATTATAAAGTAAGAATAGTATGAATTGAATTGGTTGATGTTCACCAGATGAAAGTAGGCAATGAGTTGTAACCAAGTTTCATAGGTACTTGTCAAAGAACTAGTATTGAACTGACTCACATCAAGATCACCTCATGGATCGCTATCATGAATGATACTTGATTAAAAGGTACTATATATGTATCCTTAACACCTGAGATACATAGTGAGACTTAAGTTTAAGATTTGTTGTGATTTGATATGGTCAAATGTTGGTCCTTAACCGGGCAGTTATAAAAGCCATTTTCGGGTATGGCATGAACTATGCAAGATGCTTATGTAGTCAAAATGGAATTTGTTCCTCTTATGTGTTGAGAGTTAGATATCTAAGTCGCCTTACGAAAATTTGAACACCAGATCAGATTGATTGCGATTTGTATCTCATGTTCAACATGATGTTAGTGACAAAGGGATAACTGATAACTTATCTTATACACCAGTTGTAGCTTTGAGATTTTGGAAAATTGGGCGTTGATAGAATGATACAAAGTCATATGTTGTTGGGGACAATGAAATGTTGCTAGATGTTCACCACTGTTTATATCAGACTAATATGAGTCTTGCATAAGTGAGAGATTGAAAGATCTTGTATGCTCAAGAGTCATATTAAAATAATATTACTAATTAACATATGATAATAATGGACTACACTAACAACAACTTGATACAATTGATTATTTATTAGAAATTAATTTTAATGAATATTCAATAAACGCTTATAGTTAAATGAAAATTATTTATTTCTTGGAAATAATAAATTTTCATTAGCAAGTAACATAATATATCATATAGTAGGATTTATTAAGTCATGCACATTATTTTGGACTAGAATTTTTCTATTCTTTTAGCCAAAAGCCAAAGTTTATATTTTATAAAAGAAGTTTACAAAATTTATAAACTTTTGTCTTCTTTTATATATTTATAAGAAAGAATAAAAGAAGCATGACTTTTTGATTTGTTTAATCAAAAGTATGACTAGCTCTTAAAGGCATGGGTGACAAGTTCTTTTTATGACATGAGTGTATAATTGGTTAAGGACTCATGTATATTTTTGTAGCTTTAAGAGAGTACATGAAAGACTTTCATTTTTGAGATTTTTACATGCCAAAACCATAAGTATGCTTGTCATGCTTATTCTTTCTTTTTTTTGCTTTTACACTTGAAAGGCCACTTTCATTTCTCTCTCTTTAAGTTCATACTTTGGTTATAAACTTAAAGCTTAAGAGTTTTACAAGACTATCATCTTAAATGTTGTTATTTCTTTGATTGGTGTTTAAATCTTTCTATAATTTGCAAGATGATCCTTGACGAGTATAATTTTGTTTATGTGATTTTTAAGTCTTTTGCTTGCCAATTTCTCTCGTTTATGAAACTATTTTTTAAAATAAAATCCAACACTCTTATGCACATATACATTGCCACACTCTTACAACAATACCCATGATAAGATGGGAATACCTTACCATTCAAGAAGTAATGACATCGTTTATGTTGATTATGAACGATACTTCCGTAGCCTCCCTGAAAGCTTTCTTAAACCTTATCAAGAGCCAGGTATAAAAATCGACATTATTTGCCACGCCCAGACCAAAATCTGTAGGCAAGGTCTGGTTGTTTTCTTTCATAACAATTGCTATGAACATTATCTTTAGGTAGTCACCTCTTAGACGGACACTACCTATAAAGATGGTAGACAACAAACAATCTATAAATGCGTGGAGCTGTAGTTTTTGGGGAAAACAAAACAGTTAGTTGTAAAAACGTTATAAATTTTAAATAAAAAATTAAAATATAAAACAAAATTATTTTACCACACATCTAATAGCCAAAAAACATAGTTAGAAACGATCCATAACATCTATTTTGATGTTTGTGTAACTATGAGAGTTTGTCCGCCAAAGATTGTGCAAGTACACAAGCAAGTTGGTAGTGCTTTCTTCTTGCTCATTGTCTCAGAAACTCATCTTATAACTGTGGTTTCCACGGGTAATAAACTAGTAAGTTAATAACTAAATGGAATACCATTTTATTATACATAGGGAAGAAATACCTAGTTTTTTGGAGTCCGAAATATGTGTCTGAAATGTGAGTCTGTGAGTCCGGAATGTCAATTCTACATGTATGATATTGACTACCGTATTCTGGAATTAACTTTGTTAGTCCGAAATGTACAGCCATAGTTGAACATCCACCTACCACCAACTGATCAGAATGAATATTGTATCTCTAGAATGTGATAGTGATAGTGATTATTTTTCAAAAAAAAAATGGTTATTATTATTAAGTTTCTCGGTTAGATTACTCAATTTCTAAAACGTATATTGAAAAAAAAAAGACAAAACTGCAAATTTGGTCCTTGTGGTTTGCAAAAATCTTTGGATGGGGTCCAAAAAGTTTTCAGCTTGCACAGAAGGTCCAAAATCAAGGTTTTTCTGGAGTTTTAGTCCAAAAAAACTTAAAAAGACAATTATACCCTTTTAATTTCTTTTTTTAATTTTTTACAATTATTCTAATATTCTTTTAACTTAAAAATAAAAGGAAAAGAAATGTATTATCCCCACCCACTCATACTCTTTCTCTCTCTCTCTCTCTCTCTCTCTTTATTTGTCTTCTCCAACACACCAATCTACAACTTGGAAATAACATTCCATCATCAAAACTGCAAAACCCCACCCACATACTTCCTAGTATGTTCACATAATTCATCTCCAGATCATTTATAAATTACTTAGAACTTGGATGAATCAAATTTCTTTCGAGAATAAGTGTATTCAACTGATTTTGAAATCAACAAGAGAGTGATGTAGAAGGGGAAACAAACTATGATTGAGATCGTCGTTTCTGAGAAATTGTGGAAAGATTGCTTCATGGAGGGGTTCAACTAATCATCTTCTATAAGCGTTTGAAGATCTGGGTTTTCAATTTTTTTCGATTTGTTGTGATTGTATTCAGTCTAAACCATATTCCATTTAGGGGTTCCATAATTTCACTGCAATAAGACGGTTTGCATAGAAATTGAGGTCTGGATTAACTCAAGTGTATCGATATTTTGAAGGATACATCGTTGAAAAGAGGGTTTAATAGTGATTCCACTATTGCTCCATGTTTTCATTCTTCTGTTTGCAGTCCTACCACTGCTACATGTCGGAGCTTCCACCACTGATACATGTCTAGAGTTATTGTCGGAGTTGGAGAACTCGTCAGCGGGTCTTGAATCCAGAGATGAAACCCTAGTAATAGTCAGAGAAGCACAACTCAGTGGCACGAACAACGAAGAAGGGGAATTCGTTGATGGGTCTTTAATCGTCGGAGCTGGAGAAATCATAGATAAGGTTTAGCAAAACTAGATCTTTTTCACTATGTGTGTGTAGAGTTTTGTGAGTGTGTTCTTGAGGAGTTGATTTTTGAAGGTACAGAGAGAATGCAAAGTTCTCTAATGAAAATACATTGAGAGAGAGAGAGAGAGAGAAGTATCAATAGAGGGAGGGAGGGAGAAAGAGACGTAAGAGAGATAGAGTTTTCCCTATTTTATTATTATTATTATTATTATTATTATTATTATTATTATGATAATAAAATGTAAAAGTAAATAAATAAGGGTATAACCATCTTTTCAAGTTTTTTTTGGACTAAAAACCCAAAAAACCCTTGATTTTGGATTTTCTGTGCAAGTTGGAAACTTTTTGGATCACATCCAAAGATTTTACGGACCATATGGACCAAATTTGTAGTTTTGTAAGAAAAAAAAAAAAAAAAAAAAAAAAATTATTGTAAAAGTTTTATAGGATTGACAACACAACTTAAAATAGAAAAATGATCTTTCACCTTCCTTTGCTGTTAATATATGCAGCGCATTCGCAACTCGAGCAACACAAATCCACGCGCTTCTCTTTTCTTTTTTCTTGCCCTCTTAGAATTCGAATTCTGTTGTGGGAAATTGAATTCGATAAATCCCCCCCTGCAACCCATCAAAATCATAAGATTCCAACCATCCCTCAATACTCAATCATCCTGATTCTCTGAACAAAGCCCTAATTTTGATTGCTCATTCGTCTCTAAGTTTTCTCGAAAACCCTAGTAGATGCATGCGTGCATACAAACTCACGGAAAATGAAGACTGTCTGTAACAAAAATCTCGATGTGTTCGATTTTAAAGACGAGTCTCCTCGAGTTGCTCTTAGGATTACGAGCAAGCCAGATAAAATTAGAAGTGCTGCAATTGACAAGTATACATTTCTCGCAACCGGTAAGTTTTTGTTTCTGAAAATTATCTGTTACATTCCCTCGTGTTTTGTTTCTGCATCTTCTTTTGGGATCTCCGATGCGTCTCATGCTGATTTATATCTAAAATCTCAATCTTTATTGCGAATACTAGAATCCGTGAAATGCTGTTGTAAGATGTGGAGCCAATCATTGATTTTGTTGATTTTATTGTGTGGGGTATTTTCTGCCTAATGATCGTTGGTTAACATTCTTGATGCTGATGATTTTTATCCAGTTAATAACTGCATTATGGTATATACAGAACAGGGAAGTGGAGGGAAATATTACTTACAAAAATATACTATGACTGTTTATGTCAGATTTCTTATGTTTGTTGTTATTTCTTGAAGCTGCTGCAGGAGAAAATATTTCAGCGGAGGAGCTTAAATATGTTCCATCTTTAGGGATTGATGCTATCAACATTACTCACATGGCTACCACCCTTATAGAAGATCCTTCTGCTGTAATGGTGACTGATTCAGATGATGCTTTTACAGTTGCTGAACAACCTCCCCCTCAGTCAACTCCAGAACTCAAAATTGATTTATCTGAATCAAAGGTCAATGTAGCCACCACATCAACTTCACCTAGCAACAACAAATTAAATTCAGTCATCCTAGATCTGTTGCCCAATCTACCTAAATTCGTTTGTTCTGATGATCCATCTTCAAGGTCCGAATCTCATTTGAAGTCCTCACAGAAGCAGGATGAGGCAATTGAAATGGATCCAGATGAAAATGGAAGCTTGTGTGAGGGATCTTCATCCTCTTCTGAGGTTGCAGAAGATGATGGTGTTGTTGTTGGAACATCTTCAAATCACTGCATAGCCAGGTGGGAGATATACAGTGAAGATATAGGAGCAGTGGTGTTCTACCCTGATTACATGGTGTATAGTGACAGTTATTACACAGATTCTGTAATATCTTTTAATAGCAATTCTATCAAAATGGAAGCTTCAACCACAGATGAGGATGACAAAACCTTTAAATTCAAATGGGGAATTGAGGATATACTCCAGATTAGATCTTATTGGCATGAGCAGGTATATCAGTTATATTAGTGTTATATTTAATTATTTACCTGTCTTATCTATGTCAGTGTGAGGCTTTGAACTACTGCAGCTTTTTCTGGATTATGTGCAGGTTGAAATGGCAATGGTAGTGCTTTATATACATACCAAAGACACAATACTTACTGAAAATGCTGATTGCAATTCAGGTTATTTTGAGAAACTTTAAATGCTGTTATTAGTTATTAGTTATTACCATAGTCTAGAATCTAGTATATATTGTGTAAAGATTCATGTGCTATTGTTGCGGATTCATAAATATATTGTCTTGAATCCTTTTAGTTTAAATGAGACATGCACTTGTTAAGCATTTTTCAACCAATATACTGCACAAAAAGGGAAATAAGATTAATCTGATTGATGTTGCTCTAATAAATCCAATATTTAAAGTAAATATCATGAGTTATCTGCTTTCTTCCTGCTTAATTTGGGCAAATGAATTAGATTGATGCAACTAATTCTTTCTTCCCTTTATACTTCAGGCACCAAGCTGAAATTTGCAGTTATTGGTTCTCAATGTCAATGGTATGAGAAACTTGAAGCAATAGCAAGTTTGAATGTCATATACAAAGATTTATGGACAAACATGCTCGATTCAGAGTGAGTTTTTAACCTTTATTGAGCAATATGCTTGAGTCTAGTAAATTCAACATGAACAATTATTGCAGGGATATTGTTCTTGGACATACCAGAGAACCCAATTCCAAATATCTTCCCAAGTAAGTAAAAATGTTGGTTTCATGTGTTAAAATCCCTTCAAAATGGCTGTTTTGGAAATTGAGATAATGTATTTTTGCTTCTTGTATTGTCTTTTCATTTGTTATTGGATTCTTGCAGCTTCAGTCGACCTTTTGAAGAGGTTGTGTATCCAAAAGGAGATGCTGATGCTGTTTCTATAAGCAAGAGAGACTTTGATTTACTTCAACCAGACACATTTGTTAATGACACCATCATTGATTTTTATATCAAGTATGTTCATCTTCTCCTTTTGTCTCATAATGCTCTTAAGTAGAAAATAGGACTTACAAAGAGCCTGAATTTATACTGCAGTTAAATCTCCCATGGCAACAATAAATAGAGAAGGGGAATATGATAAGGAATCATAATATCTGAACAACAATTCTCACTTTCTATCAATGTGGGATGAGTTCTTACTTATTACAAGATCTCTTTTAGTGGTTTTAGTGGAGCCAATTGGTTTTAGAGTGTTTTTACTTTTTCCACTTAATAATGATTAAAATTTTCAGGTATTTGAAGAACAAAATCAAGCCTGAGGAGAGACACAGGTTCCATTTCTTCAACAGTTTTTTCTTCCGGAAGCTTGCTGATCCAGATAATGATCCACTTGATGCTTCTAAAGGGATTGCTGCTTTTCAACGTGTAAAGAAATGGACAAGAAAAGTTAACCTTTTTGAGAAAGATTATGTTTTTATTCCTGTAAATTATAAGTAAGTGGATAAACTATGTTTTAACCTTTGCTTTTACTCAAACTTTTAATCAATTACAGCTTTCTATTTTCGATTTTTTTTCTTATTAAGACATTATACTTTGAAAAATCTTTTAAAGTACAATGCTATAATAAACAAGTCAATGAAAGTACATTGCTTTTTCTTGTACTTAACCATATACTAAATTATTTTTACAGCTATCACTGGAGTCTTCTTGTAATTTGTAATCTTGGAGAGGTTGCCACATACAAAGGTCAGTGTCATATATATATATATATATATATATATATATATATATATATATATATATGTATGTATGTATGTAAGATTTAGGTCATGGTTATGATTTGGTTCAGATGAAGATGTAAACAAGTCAATGAGAGTGCCATGTGTTTTGCATATGGATTCTATTAGAGGAAGTCATACTGGTCTAAAAGGCCTTCTACAAAGGTATTTAATCTTTCTTTTCTGGGTTATAAGTTATTTGAATAATCAAGTTTAATAAAATAATTACATTTGAAATTCCTTAAAGTTCTTTAGGAGGATAAAAGTGGCATACTTTTATATAGGGTTAAATGTAAAAAATACCAACACCTGTATTTTAATTGTTTAATATAGTTTTTTTCAAAGGCATGATGCTCTAATAAGAAAAAAGTTGGAAAGTACTATGTTGTAATAGAAAGAAATGAAATTATGATGCTAAAAAAAAGTAAGCAAATAAATGAAAGTTTCTTTGTTATTATTTTCGTTTATTCCCTCGAGTATATTGCAAGGTTTTGTAATTTATATTGTTAGCAACAAAGGTCGATATGTATTTCCATAGCTTTTTGCATGTGAAAATTTTAAATAATTTTTTTGTTCCACTTGATAAACTTTGACAATGCAGTTACCTGAAGGAAGAGTGGAAAGAGAGGAAACAGGAGGCATCTGAAGACATATGCTCAAGATTTGATAATTTGAGATTCATTTCCTTAGAGGTATATGATCTGTAGTCAATTTCTTCAATGTGAAATAGGGCTATATATTTTATTTGTTTCTGTGAAAGTTCATAACATTGTGCATTCATTTTCTTTTCTTATCAAGGCATTGTACTTTGTAAAATCTACTCTATGATAATGTACTAATATGAAAAAGTACAATGCCTTTATGAAAAAAAATTGTCTATTTTTGATGTTAAGTTGTGATTTTGATTATTATGTTTTATGCAGTTACCACAGCAGCAAAATTCATTCGACTGTGGTCTATTCCTGCTGCACTATGTAGAACTCTTCTTAGAGGAAGCTCCCCTCCATTTTAATCCATTTAAAATCACAAATAGCTTCAACTTTGTAAGTAGTCATCTTATCCTACTTTGAAAATTTATCCTATTAAAGCAATATCATCCAAATGCAAAGCAAGTTTCAGTGATATAATTTGGTAGCCCTAAAAAGGAAAAAAAGTTGAATATAATTAGGTAGAAAGAATCGAAAGTACGTTGCCATTTCTTTCTTTCATGTATTATTTTTGTAATTATGATTGGTTTCAGCTAAATATGGATTGGTTTCCACCTGCTGATGCATCTTTGAAAAGAGTAGTTATCCAGAAGTTAATCTGTGATTTACTGGAGAACCCTCATCAAGAACAACAATGCCACCTCACCTGTTCGACAACAACAAATTTCCCAAAAGGTATCTTTTGACTTTTGTAAATTTACCATTATTTCTGTCACTGTTATCTTTTATTAGGGTTATATGCTTGTTATTGGATCCTGCTTTCATTTCTTCTTATCAAGACCTTGTAAACTGAAAAATCTACCCATCCACATATGCCATAATAGGGTAGAACTTTTAAAATATAATAGAAAAATAATAGAAAGTTGGTTGGTATTTCTTGTATTTAGCCATTGTTGAATTTACAGATGATCCAAGTATGGGTTTGAAGGCATCGTTTGAAATGGAATCGTTTATGGGTAAACAATTATCAACAAATAGTTTTGATGAATTGAATTTGAAGGGCTCTCTGACCCCAATCGAGGTAACTCACAATCATTAATCTATTATAATTTGGTATGTTATAGAATTTTAATAAAGGTTTGTTTGGGTATTTAAAGCAGGAAGAGGTGGAAGGAGGTGGGCATGGTTGTTCTGAAACGGAATCAGCAATCCAACAAGGGAATGGAATGATGATGGACAGTGATTCCGATGTTGTAACTTGGAATGATCCGGTGATAGTTGAGCATAACAACAGTTCCCAATCATCACTGGAAACATCAACTTCTGGTTGTCAAGATGAAGACTCAGACTCGGTTGAGATAGTCAATGGAGTGGATGTAGAAGAAGTCGGAATCGGATTGAAGAAGAAAAGAGATGAATTAACAGATTGCACTCAGATTGATGATGATGATGATACATGTATAGATGTGATGGTGGTCCCTTGTGACCGGAATCCAACCAAAAAGATGAGAATTACACAAGAATCAAAAAGGGTATGAAAGAAAAAGCTATATCTCTGATTTGTGAATACTAGTGGGTGATGCTGATACAAGTAGGTAGGTAAAATGTTTGTTTTAGAGTTTGTGTTGAAACTACCCTTCCTTTTGGAGGGAGGGTGTCTTTTTTAGTAGTAATACTAATGGCTGATTGATTAATCCAACCTAAAAGTCATTTCATTTCATACTATACTTTTGGCAATTGGGATCATGGGATGCATGCATTATTAGATTTGGAAGATCCTGATCAAGAAGCAATGAGCAAAAGTCATCAACTGATTGATGAAACTTTTCAAGACTAAATTAAAGAATAAAACATACATGGGTCATTAGTTTAAGAATAGGCATCAACTTTGTAAATAAACAAGAATAATCCTACGTCGTGTAGTTGTTTTTCTTATTTTATTTAGACCAGAGGCTAGTGGTATCAAAGTTTCCCTTCCTAAGTGGTTGAGGGTCCTATTGTATATAAAATTAGTATGCTTTAAAAAAAGTTAGTGAAATGACAGTCGAATCGATGAAAGATTAAATGTGTTGTTGATAATGAACAACATTCAACCACCACCTCCTTACAACCCACGTGTAACCTATAAAACCGAGAGAAAAATAGATACTTTGCATAATAAATAGGTCATTGGCAAATTATACATGCTTACAACATAAAAAGAAAACCTTGTGATTTGAATCATTTAAAACCAAATCCAATAGTTCATTGGATAATAATGGCATCCCTTATTTTTATTGTTAAGCCCAAAAAGTTGTAAGGAGTTATTGGAAGAATAACCAGTTTACAGACATTAAGTACAAACAAGTTATCATATAGTACCACAATCACAAACTCAAATTAAAACACGATCCGATTTTAAATTGCTAAAGAAGGCCCACTTCTACAACATTCGTGAAACTAACTACAACATAAATTAACCAGATTCAGTCACAGATTAAGATCGAGCCTTGAAACCCAGAAATCTAGTTGAGCAGCTACACATTCAGAGCCAGTAGAACCATATGAGCTAAATTTCTTGATTGAATTTTCCACCCCAAGATAATCATAAACCCCTTCATCAAATATCTTATTAATTCCACGTAATTCATCAAGACTCAGCTCCCGAAGCTGACAGTTTTTGTAAACACACAATGCCACCGCCCTTCCAACTATGTCATGTGATGTTCTGAAAGGTATCCCCTGCAAAGAAAAATCTTAATATTACTCAATTCTCAAAAAAAAAAAAAAAAAAACACTAATAGAGTTTATGTTATATATAAAATATAAATCAACTTGCCTTGTGAACAAGATAATCCGCAAGTGTAGTGGCATCAAGATGACCAGCTGGTAAAGACTTTTGTATTCTTTCATGGTTGTATGTAATGTTACGTGCAAACTCTGCTGATACTTCTAGCATTCCGATAATTGTTTTCACACTGTCAAATACAGGTTCCTTGTCTTCCTGCAATTAACCAAACAAAAAACTGTCGCAAAACAAAAGCAAAAGAGCTTGAAAGAACACATAGTATATAATAGACTAACTATACACCTGTAGATCACGGTTGTAAGCAAGTGGAAGCCCCTTGCATAATACTTGAAGTGTCACCAAGTTTCCAAAAACCCTAGCAGACTTTCCACGAACAAGTTCCATTGGGTCAGGGTTTTTCTTCTGAGGCATTATACTGCTACCCGTTGAAACCGAATCACTTGGGGTGATGAACCCGAATTCCTCTGATGCCCACAACACCCATTCTTCACCTAGTCGAGATAGATGCATTGCTGTAATCGCGTTAGCAGAAAGAAGCTCCAAAACAAAATCCCGATCCGAAACCGCATCCATGCTGTTTTTAGCGAAACATGTCAGATAACAGATAACAGGTAACAGGTAGCAGAAGATAAAATGAGATGAGGAACGAAGTTGAATCTATAATACCTGTTTCTCATAGGGGCAGTAAAACCAAGAGCATCTGAAGTCATGAATCGATCTATAGGAAGGCCAGTGCCAGCTAATGCACATGCACCTAAAGGGGAGAAATTCAACCTAACTCTGCAATCTACCAAACGCCCAGCATCACGTTCAAGCTATAAACAGATAATTTTATCAATTAAAATGTTATATAATTGTTAGATTAAAAGTGGTTAATGCGTATTGAAAAATAAAACAAACCTGTTCAACATATGCTAGAAGATGATGTTGGAGTAGAACTGGTTGTGCCCTTTGCAAATGTGTATAACCAGGAACGATAATTCCAGTGTTGTTCTTAGCCAAGGTTACCAAAGCAACCTTAGGATTAAAAAAAATAATTAATAATTGGTGAATAGTTGTATTATGAAAAGGTAGAATAGCGTGATGAGAAATAAAGAGATGCACAAACAACACCAAGAATGAGTTATGGCAGAAGCAAAAATTAGGGGAAGTAAAAAACCTGAAGGTGTTTAATATGTGAAATAATTGTATCAATAGCATCACGACACCAGAGGCGAAAATCAGTTGAAACTTGATCGTTTCGACTTCTAGCTGTGTGAAGCTTCTTGGCAGGTTCTCCGATCAAATCAGTAAGTGCTGCTTCAATGTTCATGTGTACGTCTTCTCTGTCAGTCCTCCATACAAACTCCCCAATTTCAATTTGTTTCTCTATTTGATCCAGACCTTCAAGAATACTATCCTTATCGCTGAAACTGATCAATCCCTGTTGAAACAATTAATTAATATAAAAAGTAAGGATTCCAAGATCCAAATTTCAGAATTTATGCGTTGCAGACAAGCTGAAAACAAGCTCCGAAGTAGAAGTAGAAGATGAGAGTTTGATTGACATAAAAATTGAAGTAGATGCATGATACCTGTTTGGCAAGCATGGAAGCATGAGCACGACTGCCCATAATGTCGTGTTTGTAAAGAGCCTTATCGAACGAAATCGATTCGGTGAACCTCTCTACAGCATCCGTCACTCCCTCCTCGAACCTCCCTCCCCATAGCTTTGGTTCCTTCGCCGGAGCCGTCATGTTCGGCTGTTGTGACGCGCAGCAGGATACAGCCGGCGGCGGATGACTTTTGCTTTGGGAAGTTAATGGGCACCGGAAGGAAAAAGAGAAGATTTGATTACGATGATGATTCGTTGATGATAAATTAGGGTTTTGAGTAGAAAGTATAGTGGAGGGTGATGAAGGTGAATAGGTGATTGTGAAGATGCGAACAGCATTGATTCCATGCTGCGGCGAGAATGGGAAATTATCAGGTGCGTGTCAAGGGAAAGAAGGAGCAGTGGAACTCTACTAGTGTTATCGGGTTTGACCTTTGAGTTGACGGGATTTATTTATTTATTTTTTATTTTTAAGAGAAGGGTTGTGGCTTAAAAAAATTTGTGTAATCTAACCTTGTAAGCGATTAATTTAACAAAAATGATCAATCTGTTTTTGGGAAAATGATTTAAAAGTTCAACGAAGTTTTCAAATCATTCAAAAAACCTCAATAATGTTTTGTTTATTCAAAAAAAACCCAACGAACTTAACTTTTTGTTTAAAAAGTCGAACAAAGTTTCAAACCGTTCAGAAAATTCCAATTTTGTTTTGTTTAAGTTAGTTGGGTTATTTTTGAACAGTCAAAACATGATTGGAGTTTTTTAAACGTTTTGGAAACTCCATTGGTCTAACAAGTCATTTTTCCGATACGGTAATAAGTCACGTCATCTGTTTCTCTTATTTGCCTTTCGAGAAAGTGTAACTTAGTTGAACTTTTTAAATAAAATGTTAAGTTTGTTGGATTTTTTTGAACAGACAAAACATGATTGAGTTTTTATTTATTTTATTTTATTTTATTTTTGGAGCTCTGGTTTTCGTTCCAGAGTACCTATTCTAGAATTCCTACTCCAAATTATAACATTAGTCTTTTTTATTTTTTTTATTTTCGACTTATATATATATATATATATATATATATATATATATATATATATATATATATATAGAGAGAGAGAGAGAGAGAGAGAGAGAGAGAGAGAGAAAATTGCAAAAATGGTTCCTATGGTATGCATTTTTTTGGGGTTTTAGTCCAAACCTCGATTTTTTTGGATTGGTGGTCTTTTTGAACTAGTTTATATGCAGTTTTGGTCCTTGGCCAAACTAAAAAGACTATTATACCCTTAATGAATTTAATTTTCATTTTTCTTTCACTTTTTAAAATTATTATTATTATTAAATATAAAATTGGGCCCACCTCCCTACCACTCCCTCTCTCTCTCTCTCTCTATCTCTCTCTCTCTCTATCTCTTTCTCTCTCTCTCTCTCTCTCTCTCTCTCTCTCTCTCTTTCTCTCTCTTTATCCTCCCCCAGATCACCATAAAGAATCTACACACACTCCATGATACACACATATACATACACACACTCGACATATACAAGCAGTCGCCTGGCCCTTCAATGACTCCGCTCGATCCTCCCACCATCGATTTCATTCAACAACGCATCAAAAGGAAGCTCGAAGATTTCAGACGATGACCGCTCCTCCTCCGACTTAGTCTGCATCAGGATGAGAAGAAACGATCCTAACCCCACCTTCTCTTCTTCTTCTACCTCATCCGACGGTAGAAGGGCAACGATAGGTGGCTGTAGTTGGTGGTTGTGGGCAGCCTTGCTGCTTAATTTCTGTTGGTGGATGCTCGACGAGGGACCAAGACGAAGCAGAAACGATGATGGCGTTTGGTGGTGGTGGGTTACGACAAGATGGAGGCATTTGGTGGGTTTTGCCAGCAGTCACAACGGTGGTGGGTGGTGCACTAGGTTTTACCAACGGTGGTTGGTGACGGAGTTGTGGTGGCAACTTCACTACCTTTGTTTCCTTTCTTTTTAGAAGAGCTCGACGAGAGAGAGGGCTGGGAGGAGAAAGGTTATGGTCCGGAGGTATTTGGGAAGGGTGTTTGATGGTGGTGGGTCACGACATGGGAGGTGGAGGAGGTGTTCGAAAAATTAAGTGGGTTAAGATGGTGGTGGTTGTTTCCTCCGATCAGTAGCAAGAAGGGGGAAGAACATGGTGGTGTAGGGTGGTGCCTGGCAGCTTGCTCGATAGAAACAATAAAGAATGGTGGTGGGGCTCTACCAAGACAGACGAGGATGGTTTTCGGTGGGGTTGTGGTGGTCTATGGCGGCAGTCGTGGTGGTGAGCAGCCTAGACCGGTGTTACAATCACCAGTGCTTTCTTTCTTCAAAGGGTGAGATACGAGAGAGAGAGAGAGAGAGAGAGAGAAAGAGAGAAAGAGAGAGAGAGAGAACGAGAGAGAGAGAGAGAGAGAGAGAGAGAGAGAGAGAGAGAGAGAAATAGAGAGAGAAATAGAGAGGGGGGGAGATAGGTGGGTCCCACAATTTTTATTAATAAAACTTTATATTAAATAGAAAAAAACATAAAAAAATGTATCAGAAGGGTATATTTGTCTTTTTAATTTTACG